CTTTTTTGTTACACAAGAATTAGTGTAATGCGCAATTCTGGCCAAATAAACAAAATATTATATGGAACGTAGAGGCAACAATTATCAAGAAATAGAGAAAGTGGAGGAAACACTTGTTTCCTTTAGCTCTTGCATGCTGCTAAATGCTCTTACATGCTACTCTAGACACTAAATGGCGACGCAATTCATTTGCACAATTCAAGCTTTTAAGCACAAGCACTTGGAAGAGATGTAAGATAAAAGGCCGAGCACCAGCTTACCATCAAAAGACAATCCCATCTCTGAGTTTCGTTTGCCCAGCGCCGAGCCGCGCCTAATTTTTCTGTCGTTTAAAACCGTCTTTTCACAGTTAATTTAACATTTCTCCTTGAATTATTCAGCGGGGAGAAGATCGCGTGTTAATCCCTATGTTTTCCACCCATCTTGATTAGTTGATTTGCATACAGACGGCGGATCTAGTTAGACCTGGGCAAACACAGAAGGCAGGAAAATCACAAGTTAGTCGTCTCCGTTCCCAGGATAAGTTTCAGCCCACTTCATCTCAGCTAGGGAGCGTCACATTATTAACAGCTCCCGCAGCTGTTGTTTCGCGAACTGGAAACTGACGCCGACGGCGAAGGAATATACGTATATCGAATATAATGATATTTTGTTTCAATCACTTGAGATTATAACGACACAAAATAATAAAGGAAAGTAATTTTGCATACCAAACAAAAACATAATGAGTATGTATCATTGTGTGTAATGAGTATGTATATTAGAATAGACATACCTTCACTAATATCACGTGTAAGTTGTTGATCAAAACGAGTGAATGGGATGCCGTTGGGGAGTGGGCACGACGCACACGGGTGGAGAATAAGGGGTTTTGGGGGTGCTCGAGCACCTCCGTAAATTCAAAGGTCACCATATAATAGGGCTGCTTAAATTACGTCTGAGACACAAACTAAACTGCTTTGCATAAGTCGCGAGAAGATGTCAGATGATGCTGTTGGGAAAGCGTATGTACTTACATGTGCCTTTCTATTAAAAAATTCGACGCTTCCATTCGCCAGGTGCTGAAAAGTACCCCCAGGGATTATGACAATTCTCCGCCTCTGACGACGCACGAATACAGTTTGTGGAACAAAACGGATTGATTATTTATATTAGTCATGGTGTACCTACCTACTACGTTAGATGCATCATGTGGCTCAATGATGGTGTCAAATGATTCCTTATTGGCCTTGGGGTCTGGTCAAGAGGTTTCCGCCTAAGGTTCCGATAAGGACTGGTTTCGCCCAGTAGCGGCGGAACACCTTCAATTAATTGAAGGGGGGGGGGGGGCACTGCCGACTTTTGGTCCCATTCTTTCCATGCAACGCCCATAGGGCTAATGTTAAAATGCCAAAATCAAAGGGGGGCACGGTACCCCGGTGCCCTCCCCGTTCCGCCGCCTATGGTTTCGCCTTCTTTCCTCACAAGACCGCTGCCCAGCTGACTCCTGCCCGTCTCAGAGCCCCGCCACGCCGCGCCGTTTCGGCCGACTCGGCCTGCGATACTGCGCCGCCGCGCACTGCGGTGCGGCGGCACAGTATACCATCGCAGGCCACAGGACTGCCTGCGTCTGGGATGGGCTCGAATTGAGCGTAGGCGTAAGCCGCAGCACAAGCGGATCACAGCTGAAGACAGGGCTGCGGCATGGGATGCACGATCCAGGAACAATCTCATGTTTTATGAACACATATTTCTAAAATGTATGATCAGAGCTATCGTACACAGAACAATCAGCACATGCAACTGACATGTCCGACTATCATAGTGTCATCGCGCTATGTCATGTCGTTCTAGTTCTAGTTCTATTTCTGCACATGCATCGTTTATCACCAGGCATATTTTGAGTCTGCATGTTCATCAGAGCGTGTCTGACTCCGTGACTCAGCCTCCCCCGTCGTGGCTCGGGCGGTATGCTGTGAGTCACGTCGGGTTGGAATACCTCCGAGGCTGGATCACCCGACCCCCGGTGGGCGCCGGTCACTGTCGGGGAGACAGCCACGGGGGCGAGACGCGTCGGCAGAGGAGCACGGGCTGCCAACGTGAACCATGACTCAGCGGGTTCGATTGGAGGTCGGAGCTGCTAGAAAGCCAACTGTCGGAGCCATTAGATGACGAAAGTGAGATGCCAGAACAGTTAATGGTCATGGATATTTGAAAAGTTTTTGAAATATTTCGTATCTTTCTAACAAATTTCAGCTATGTGGCAACTGGGCAAATCTTTGCCGTTAGCTGCTTTCGTTTTCTCCATTTTTCAGCCATTAAACCTCACTTCGTCGCGCCAACTTTGCATTAGGTATCTGCGGTTATGCGTCTACATACTTTATTTTGTTCCCAAGAAACCCCAATGATCCAAGACTCAAGAAGTCAAGAGTGAAGTTCATCATTACTGGAACAATAGCTTATTACGGATAAACAGCCAGTAGAAAGCTTAAATGCGTGTGTGTGCGAAAGCATCAACAAAAGACATTGCGTCTGAGAATAAAATGACAGGTTTCATTAAATAGACGGCTTGCGGTGCAGTCGCAGGTATGAAACTCAAAAGACAATAGGATGAAAGGAGCGGGGAAAATTGTACGCGATCCGAGGTACACCTTTAGCCGCTTTCCCGAAAATCACGCCGCTTTGCAAGTTCCCTTGGTTACTATCGGCGCCGGCTGTCAGATGTGGGGAGCCGGAGCGTTTGGCTGCCTTCCAGTAGCTCCCTGGAACTTTCCAGGTCGTGTCGGGCGGCGCGGGCCTGCCAAGCGGTCCGGCTGGCAGCGCGTCCCTGCTGCCCTCGGCAGACGCAGGTCGAGCCGTCTGCCTCCCACACAAACACGTCACGCCGAGCGGAGCGCAGACGGAGGCGAGTGAGGAGCTGACGACTGCCGCCGCCAGATCCTGACAGCCCGTCCTTTGTCAGAATGGCTGCCTTAAGTAATCTATTGAAGTTTGTAGGATAAAAGGAACCAGTCGCGACGGACAGTATACAAAATTAGCTTCGCTAAGATGGGTTAATATAAGCAGACAGATAATTCAACATGCACCTCACTGAAGTCTAGCCAAAAGTATCTCGCTGATGAGAGGACCAATAATACTTTTATTGAATGCGTCCCGCAAGGTGTTCCGGCAAACGCGGCCGATTAGGATGAGTGCAGATTCTGCCAATGTCAATCATACTTCTCCCCCACTTGACTGAGCATTCGGCCAAACGCCATTGACTGAGGGGTGAGGTTAAAGCCCCCCCCAAGATTATCTCCGAAGCTAGGGATCGTAGCAACACGCGTGAGGCGCCGTTGGTCGCTTCCTTTTTGACCTGACCTCGACCCAAACAAACACTTGGTATTTAACGAGCGTCCACGTCGTTATGAGACGCAGTGATTAGTACACGACTTTAACGTATCAGATCAACCGGTGTGACCTCTGAGGTCAAGTGAAGTACCCCAAAGTATGGGCTCGATTTTTGGTTAATCACTTCGCCAAAAATGGTAGCAGAGCCATGATTTGGCACCATCTTGTTCGCCATGTTCATGATACGTCGAATGGTATACTTTTTGTTTGGGTGAGGTCAACTTACCCCGCAAGTTGCTGGGGGGGGAGGGGGGTGTTAAATGCCCCCACTTTTTCGCCGTGCTGTATGTACATAGCTAAAAAAAAAAAAAAAAACGGCGCGCCGCAGGCGCGGCAAATTTTGGGTAGCTGTAGGGATTGATTGAGTTTATTGTGACAAAGTTTCAAAAAATCGGTTCCAAATTTTTTAGATATCGATGTTTTAGTGACGCCATGATTTCTGAGTTTCCGACCGGAAACGGCATATGTTAAAAAAAACATATAAAATCACTGATAAGACGTACAGACATGCACTAAATGCCATTAGACTGCTAATATCATGAATAATCAAATGGCTATCTTGAATTTCTTATTATCGTTCCACCTTTTCAAAAAATCTTAGCTGAACGGGCTGAACCCTGGCAATATCCCGTGACTGCTCCACGATCTTGATGTATGAAACCATGTGTTTTATGCTGCGAATACCAGTTTTGATTTTCAGGGATATTAGCTTACCTGATTGACCTGACCTTGACCCTGACCTTTGCTTGACTGACCCCTATATGGATCTGACACTCGTGTATCACTAATAGGAAGGGTTGTGCACAGTTTTGACAGACTTTATCATAGGCGGCGGAATGGAGAGGGCACCGGGGCACCGTGCTCTCTCAAGATTCCTTGAGAGAACAGCAGTGACAATGACAAGATTCCTGGGGCGGACGAGTGAAGACCCTGACCACGATCCCAACAGCAAGACCAAAATTTGAAAAAACTGCCTCGCCCCCCCGGTCTTTGCACGGATGGGGGCGTGGATATTCAGTCGCTGAACAATAAAGTGCTGCAGTCGCTGACCGTTTAAACCTAATGGGTCGTGAAGCACCAATCGCTGGGCACTGTAAGAGCCGCTGGCTTCTGATAGCTACTGAAGACACTGGCGGCCGAGGGCTTCTGGAGTCGAGAGCTGGTAGAGCCGCATAATGTTGGGAGCAGCTGGACGGTTGGACTCGCTTGTTGCTGAGAGCTGCTAGAGACTCTGACTGCTAAGAGCTGGAAGCACCGGATGATGACTGGCTTCTGGAAACACTGTCGAGAGCTGGAGCCGCTGACTACCAGCAGCTGAGCTAGCTATGCGCGTGGGGGCGCCACCGCTAAGAGCTGCTGGAGCCGGACAGCCGCTGTTTGCTGGAGCTGCTGGAGCCTCACAGCCGCTATTCACTGAGAGCTTCTGGAGGCGCTGATTGCTGAGAGCCGCCTCAGCTGTGCAGTCTGCTGAAGCGGGGCAGCTGGAGGGCCCCGGAGTCGGCCGGAGCCGGCTGCTCCACCTGGTCCCCTCGTTGAGTCACTGATGACGTGATGGGCCCGGGCGGATACACTTGGCACGCGCCGGCTGGGCGGGCCACCGCCGTCTATAAAGGTGTTGTCGGCCGGGGGAGGTGCACTCGAGTCACGGAGTCGTGAGAGTCCGCCGGCAGCAGCAGCTCTGCCCCCGAGGTCACCGAGGTCACCCGACAGTCACACACAGACACACACCATGCCGCGCGTAGGGGTAAGTCGACAGGTCCAATGATTGTGGGGATGGCACTGATCGACATTGTTTTTATCGTTTTGTGCCAAAGATCATTAGTCGATTCCCTGCTCACATTAGATTGCCTTATTCGATCGACTGTAACTCTAAAAAACTGTTCTTACTTCGTAAAAGCAGGGCTACTGTTTTCTGTACTTTCTATGCATTCGTGAACGTAAATCGACTAACGTGTCAACTCGCTGAAAGTAAATGTAACTCCAGATGGAACTGAATCCAGTACGACTGAGTGGTGGTTAATTTGGCTATGCGAGGCTTGTTGTGAAAGTCTTCTGTATACAGAAGTCGTACTTATAAGTACGACTAGGCGCCCAGCAGAGATGTGTTATGTGCATGGACCTGATGAAGTTGATTCGGGATCTGATCCCGTTAACTTTTATCTACAGGATCATAGATTTGGCTCTACCATTGTGTCCAGAGATGCATCGTGATCATAGACCTAATAATGACTTTTGTTGGTGTTAATGAAACCAAGGGGACCCTTCGCATGATTTTGTTTGTGCAATCATGCAATCATGCATCCCAGGGGCGCGGGAACCGGGGGGGGGGGCCTTTGGGATCAGCTTGCCCCTCCCCCCCAATTCTGGGGCCGTGGGGGCGGTGCCCCCACACCTTTGAGATGGAATACCACACTTTTTTTGTAAATATTTTCTAGTTTTGTTGAAAAAGCCAAGGGATGAAAAATGAGTGGCCTAAAACCAGTGAGAAAACTAGATTTGGGGGTACCCTAGGTTGATCTCTATTATAGTGTGCCCCCCCCCCCCCCCAGTCTGACAGTGGTTCCCGCGCCCCTGATGCATCCTTACCCATGGTGTTTGTAGAACATAACGTAAAATTATGATAGATCTGGCACTTTCCAGATATCTAATGTAATTGCAGTTCGTATTTCACCGGTAGTGTGCTACCCGTTTAGCGTTGATAGCCTTACTATAACTATATAGCTATGTAACTATATAACTATAACTATATAATCGCATACAATATCTGCGATTATAGTTGCATATAGCATAACTATATATAACTTATAATCGCAGGGTTCACATTTGCAAAGGCCGTGTGCTGTGAGGTCGAAACATCTTACATTGCCCTTGATTTGCAGTGATATAATGACAACGTAGATCCTTGTTTCTCCTTTGATGTGCAGCGATCCAAGCATTTGCCAATTTTTACCAAACACTGAACAACCTGGTAAGATATACATATAGGTAGAGCTATCAGTTTAAATGTAGGTATCATAGCTTCGCATCGCATTGCAAACCATTAACTAACTGTCCCTCTGTCTCAAATATGAATGTTTTAAATGCTTCACTCTGAAGAGGCCACAAGGGCGAAATATCAGTCTCTTTATATACCTATATTTTGTTTTTTCGTCATTTTTCGATTAAGTATGAGCAAAGGCTATTTACAACTATAATACTAACAATGCTCATCACAGCCATCAACCATATATGTAACCATTAACTAACGTCAAATCGCTCCATCACATGTCTACGCTCGGACCCGTATCTTAGCATCAGCTTTTACCTACCCCTCACTTCCGCCGGTACTGCCGATATTCCGGATGTTTCCGGGTCCGGGCGGGGCCCACATCCCCACCCGTCCCCCTCCCCACCGCTAGTTACCGGTCCAGACGCGGGGGCGTCTAGGTTTTCGCACAGGTTAGCGCGCGCGTCGCCCGATTTGGCCGGGTTGCGCGAGTGTGCGGCGCGCCGCCCCGGCAGCTATGAATAGCTGACCTCGACGTGTCCGACGGCGCAGCGAACCGTGTGTTTGGATCGCTCCAGCCGCCCCGATACGAGCCGCTCGACCGCCCCGGCGCGCCGTACCCTCGCCGCCGCCCTGGCGTGCCCCATCACCCGCCCCGGCCCGCCCGTCGGCGTGTCAGACGCCTGCCCACAGCAGACGGCAGAGCGAGATCAAAGCGAACATCGTGATGGGGTGAAGGCCCAAGGGCAGACACAGTTGATGTTGCGTACTCTAGCATTATGGTGTAGATAATTTAGAGGTGAAGATCAGATAGGTATCTATCTGAACAAGGTGAGCGGTTGTTCGTTGAAGCCTTGTAGTTCGGAACGCTGCATAGCCTAGCGACAAACCCAGACGGGTTACCAGTTTGTGTAGCACGTCAGCCATTCATCAAACAAGATAACATGAAAGTTTCACATTGTTTCGAAATTCCGACCCAGGCTTTGATGGAAGGACACGAATGATCAGCTAAGTAATGGAAAGCCAGTTGTTAAAAGCGAATATATTTTATCTGAAAGTGAAACGTTTAGAACAATTTCGAGCGAGCCTACTCGTTGCTCGCAGTACATAAATCTAAATGCCAAACATTCAAAATACCTTCCAGTTTTTACAGTAACACAAATTACTGCTTTCCCCAATAACTAACGTAATCAAGGACACTTTCGAAATTCGTCAGTCCATTCATCAAGTTATTCTGACCGATGACTCCACACACCACTCATGCAGCCAGAGGTGTCCCTGTTTCGTTTGGCAGCCTCACTTGACCACAGTTTCCGGCGTGAGCTAATGCGACCGGCTTCAGAGCTCGACGTTTCTCTGGGACCGGAAAGCCATCAGCTGGGCCGCAGGGGACCAAATGCCACCGAAATGACACAGAAAATACACCAACTGGCTGTCTTGACAGGAGAGGGAATTAGAGAGGCTATCACTGGTCATTTGTCTCTCATCTCATACCGAAAAGACCTCAAGGAGATTCAAGGATAGTTTCCTGAGTTTCGAGATCCTCGTGTCAGAACCATGCTAATAATCCCGGGTGGCGGACATATGCTGTGAAATGTGTTGGGCATGCACATCATTTGTGGGACAATGCTTCCTTTATTATAACTTCAATACAGCATCTAATATCGTTTTCTGGGAAGCCGATACGTTATAAAAATAAGCATTAGACCATTAAATCCAAACGCCTAAATCGGAACGCCGGTAGCCATTGCATTTAACCGTTTCCAAGGAGCGTCTAGCACGGAAAGTCCCGACCTCCTTTGAACTGATGGATTAAGGTCGACACCGGACATAACTGTCTCCAACGAGACACCACCGGGGAACCATGGACGGCGGAAAACGGGGGCAGGTCGGAGTAGCGCTCTGGCGACTGCGTGTCGGCCAGGGGCCACTAAAAATACCGTCACGCCGCCGACGGCCGGCTCTCACTGGCCTGCTGGCAATTGGCGACGACGGTGAGTCACCATCCGAGCGATCCAGGTCACAGAGCCAGGACGGGCGCTGCGTCACCCTCTGAAAAAACGACCCCCCTCGAGGACTCGAGTGACATGACCGACAGATGGAGTGACACAGACCTTCGAGCGGGTCAGGCCAAGGTCACAGGGTGTTTGAAAAGGGATGTTTAACCCTCGCCCGCACATGCCATTTTCCCATCCTAGAACGCACATGGGGGGGGGGGTTGCCACCCCCCCGCGCCATTTCGTTCCTGTTGGAGATAGAGCTTAGCAGTAAAGACCAAAAAGATTCTTTGGGAAGAGACGAATCCAATGATACCCAGTTTTACCTTCTCAGGTCAGTCATTGACCTTCCAGGTCAGGTCAAACTAAAAAATGTTGCTGTTTTGGGTCACCGTTGGATATCAAGTGCGCTGCTTATCAAATACCGATGACGATGCTGTTTTCTGGTGCCAAGCCAGCTAGAACCTCTTTGTCACACTATCCGACCAGAATTTTGCTGCTGAGGTCATTTCAGGTCAAGTTAGGTCAAGGTCAATTATATGTGTTTGTATGTCTGTGTGTGTCTGTGTGTATACTGATGTGTGCACCGATTGTTTTTGGGTCCATATCACATGAAATCATGATCTGAGAAGCTTTTACCAAAAATGCAGTCAAAAAACTTCACAAAAAGTAAATTCAGCTTGCCTAAAACGCAATTATCTTAGATGACCTAGGTTGACCTTGACCCTGACCTTGACCCCTGTACATCGTCGAACAACATGTTCCATGATAGGTGGGAGGTGAGACTGGCAAAAAAGGCCGAAATCAGGGTGTCAAAAGCTCACAAGGCCCATGGCAAACGCAAGATGTTGAGAATTGGCCATTTGGGTCATGACATGACCTGAAAAACAAGGTCATATCTCCGAAACCAAAAATCACAGAAACTTGAAATTTTCAGTGGACATCAAGAAAGGATAGACGAGCAGCTATACGAAAAATCAGCCTTCTAGCTCTAAAAATGTTGAGTGCAGAGCAGAAAGACTGCCTGGGGGGGGGGTGGCAACCCCCCCCCCCCCCATGTGCGGGCGAGGGTTAACAAACAGTGTCTAGAAAATCAACAACGGAACTCACCAGCACCTCCAAACAGCTATCATGAGCCCTTCCCAACCCAGTTCCAGACATCACAGACCATGGTATCATGAAGATAAGCGACTAAAAAGTCTACACCATCCCGGTAGCGCGTCTCACGTCTGACGCGGTCTCGTTCTTCTTCCGCAGGCCGCTGGAAAGCGCGATCCGCAGCTGGAGGCTGATGTCAAGGAGTGGATCGAGGCCGTCACCGGCGAGAAGTGGCCCGCTGGCGACTATGCCCACGTCCTCAAGTAAGAGACTGAGAGACAGAGAGAGACAGACGTTCCTCGCTGTCGTTGGTCGCGGTCACCTGATATAATATAGACACGGGATTTCGAAAGACCGTGATAGGCGCGGCAGACAAGGGGAGCTTTGCTATTTGTTATAACGCTTGCTTAATTTACGTCTCTTCACAGATCCATCAAATGACAGTACGCTACCTACCAAACAATTTATCTATGGTGATAATTATCTCAAATACGGGATAATATAACCGAGACCCGGTGCCAAAGGCATTGTAGATCATTGTCGATCAAACATCCTAGTTCATATGTTTGACGAGGCCCGGTCGTCGTTCCAGGGACGGTCAGGTGCTCTGCAAGCTGATGAACAAGCTGATGCCGGGATCCATCAGCAAGATCAACACCACAGGTGCCTCCTTCAAGATGATGGAGAACATCAACAAGTGAGTGGCTTACAGACAGTCCAGGCAGCAGAGCGGATAATTCGAAAAATGAATGCGATAGTTTGATACTCTTCAAGCTTGCAAACGTCATGTCACATAACTGCAAGGTCCTTCATTCACGAGGCAGTACAGTTACAGCCATGAGTGTGACTGTTTTGCTCGAGGAGCAGACAGCTTCTCATAGTGGTACTTGAGCATTCTCGGTCGGCCGCTGACCACGGCCCTCTCCCCTCAGCTTCCAGAAGGCGATGGTCAAGTACGGCTGCTCGGACGTCGACCTGTTCCAGACTGCTGACCTGTACGAGGGCAAGGACATCGCCGCCGTCACCAACTCCATCTTCGCCCTCGGCCGCCAGGTGATGATCCGGCGCCACTGTCGCCAATTGATGTAGCACACTAGAGGCTTTTCGTTTCACGAGAAATACGCAAATTTCTCGTACGCCATATTGTTCTGGAAGTGTCTTGGTGAGGTTCGTTTTTTCATTATATCAATGCTATTTTTGTGTCATACGAGCGTTTGCATTTCGTTCTGTCCCATTTTTTATTATATCAATGCCATCATTTTTTATCATTCATGTGTCTGTGTTTTGTTACGTCCGTGTTATTTTCTTTGCCGATTTCGCCACTTTTTTCTGTTTTGTTTCGTCGTCTGCCAATTTTTTGAAACTGCTTTTTTATTCGAGTCTGGCGACTCGAATCGCTTTCACTGGCCCATGGACGGCCTATACGCGCCGATTATAACCTCTCCATTGGCGCTGGCCCACTCCACAGACCCACATGCACCCGGAGTGGCCGGGCCCTTGGCTGGGCCCCAAGCCCGCAGAGTCCAACGTGCGGACATTCGATGAGGAGACGTTGGCTGCAGGCAAGGCGGTGATTGGACTGCAGGCTGGCACCAACAAGGGAGCGACACAGGCCGGACAGAATATGGGCGCCGGCAGGAAGATCATCCTTGGAAAGTAGACGGCTTTCAGGTAGTCATCGGCTCTTCTCCGTCCCTTCCCCCAGTTCCCCAAATGCGTATGTGAAGTTAGGTCGGATGTGGAGATGGCTGAGAATGTGTTGGCGGTGCCTGGCTGAGCGCGTGGGGCCGCATTTCCACCCCTCCCGGCTGACACTGTGCCTTCTGCCGCAGACCTACATGCACCCGGAGTGGCCGGGTCCCTGGCTGGGCCCCAAGCCCGCTGAGTCCAACGTCCGCGAATTCGACGAGGAGACCCTGGCCGCCGGCAAGGCGGTGATTGGACTGCAGGCTGGCACCAACAAGGGAGCCACGCAGGCCGGCCAAAACATTGGTGCCGGACGGAAGATCATCATCGGAAAGTAGGGGGAGACGGCGAGACTGTCATCTTCATAACCACACATCTGTGTCGTGTACAATGCTTACTGCGAGGAGGAATCGTGGCGGAAAGTGTGCCCACAATATGTCACTCACATTGTATTATATTATTTTTAGTTCAGAAGCGATGAGATATGAAATGTCTCAGCGCATTTATATACACTGTATTATTACTGTTCGGAGATGGTTGGGATATGGAATACAGCTGATGTGATGCACATGTTCTACAAAACAGACCATGCACATGAACGAGACAGGTGGATGAAACGAGGCTAAGTATAAACCTTAATTTCGATCAATACCAATCACGGTATAATGACGGTATAATGGTCACATTGTGGTACACACAGACACAAATCATATTGCAAGAAAACTTCACACCATCTTCCGAGCACTAAAATCAACAAAGGCGATCGGTCCCCGTCAGACCCCCCCCCCCCCCCCCTTGTCAACCTGTCCCACCCTCTTCACTGACCGGTGTTGGCAATCCGGGGTCCCGATTCACCGGCTCTCGCCAGTCAGGACCATCCTGCGCCTGCCGTCCCGCCCGGCGGTCACCCGGCGTCCAGGCGGGTCTGTATGTCTGTCAGCAGTCGGAGGAGCCGGCCGCTGTCAGCCGCCGCGCCGCCCTGCCGCCAGTCGCGTCTCAGCGCGGCCAGTCGCCGCTGGATACCGTCCAGTAGCTGCGCCTCCCGCGGGGGGAGCGAGCCCTCCCCCGGCGGCGACCGACCCGAGCCGTCCCCGCCGGTACCGTTCGTCAGACGGGCCGCCGGGCCGTCCGTCACCGGCAGACCGTCCTCTGAATCCATCGGTCCCTCACCGCCGCTCCCGGCACCCTCAGAGTCCGTCAGCGGCCCCACCCGCGGGAGCATCTCCGGCACAGCGGCCGCCGCGGCCGAGCTGACCCCGGCCCGGGCCAGGGCGGCTGACAGGGCGGCCGGGCCGCGCCGCCGGGCCGCCAGCCGCTGCAGGTGGCCACTGGCCGTCCCCTGGAGGCCGGCCGGCGCCGCCACCGCCGCCGAGATCAGAGCGGCGTGCGGCGTACGTGACGCGAAGGCGGCGAACGCGTCCATGGCGCACTGCCGGACCAGCTGACTGGGGTCGGTCAGTAGACTCCGGTACAGAGCTGCCGGCAAACACCAGCAATTAGTTAAGAGCACACAAATTACATGAGTCATACATAACTAGAAAACATGATAAGCATAAAATATACATTATAATTTGCAATACGAGCTAAGCCTTGTGGATCATAAAATCATGTGAAATTGTATTGCGGCATTTGTTATCATGTAACATAGGCGCCATTTATAGAATAGCTGGTATTCTCACTTGGAATGTAGTGTTTTGGACCATCGTCGCCTTTCACAGACGGAAACTGTCGAGCTTTGATGCCGCCCAAGAGGCCGATGACGCCCAGTTTCACCGGCACACTGCACTCGGGCAGCCAGCCGGAGCAGATGGAGAGGACCTGAAAAACGTCAGGTCGAATTACACTAACATCGTATTCGTTATGCATCCATGCACCACACGGCAACAGTGGAACCAATTACTACCAAAGTAGGCGGGCAAACCGACTGCACATGAGCCGTCAAACAGACCCCACCCTTAAACACCAGCCATGTTTATTCGGTGACCCGACTCCCTGCCTGACCTCCGTCTGAACTGACCTGCGTCAGCTGCTGGTCGCTGAGCGGAGAGTCGGCCGGCAGGGCGGCTGAGGCCCGCAGCAGGCCACAGGCCAGTCGGGAGCCTGCTGGACCGGTCAGACGGGTCGGCACCGCCGCCCACAGCCGCTCCAGCAGCGTCAGTAGGCGGGATGGCAGACCGGCGGCCGTCGGCGGGGCGGACAGGGCGGTGCCGCAGGCGAACAGCGAGTCCGACTGGAGAACACGGCGGGCGGGGGAGCTGAGGTCACGGCTGGGCGAAGGGAGATTTCGAAAGGCAAGAATTAATGATACGGCTAACTACCGTGAAACTCCGATGCATTCATTCATATAAATATTTACTGCGCGCAGCACCATTAATCGAAGCCGTTCCATTAGCTGCGTAAATTTAGCTCACGGAAGTGAAAAGTCACGTGGGTGTTTACACAACTCGTCAGCCTACTTGGAGCGCTGCGTAGTCACAACTAAATCGAATCCAACTTATACCAATAGTGTTGGCAGGCCACAGGTGAGCTCTGAGCCAGCTGAGCCCTGAGCTATGCTTCCATCCCGCCCCCGCATCGCCGTGCTAACAGCGGCGTCAGCGGCCCCACCCTGTGAAGTTTCTCCAGCGTATAAACACACCTCAGATCTGGCACTTCACAGAGCAACAGGTAAACGCTCCGACCTCTCTGGCTACAGTACGGCGCAGTTTGGGAAGACACAACTCGGACTTATTAGGGACGGCGCAGACAGACGGCAAACACGGCACTCCTGTGTCAATAGTGGGTAATTTTAACATGCATACCAGGGAGGAAGGTCCACATTACCTATTCGAAAATGTTTCTATTCTAAAGAAAACTAGAGACTATCCGAGATCGCTTGCTACTTTACCCATCGCTCCTGTATGCTTTGTCAAGTCACCTTATTATAATAAGGGAATTCGCTCACATATTATGTAGCTCACACCTGCCTGCTCACAGTTCGCACCAGGGAAGATACTGAGCTCATGAGCTGACTCCTAAACAATCCATACTGCCTGTGAATGTTCGGTAGCCGATAACCGACAGCCAATAGCCACCCCCCGTACGTTCGTACGTTCCACCCGCGTTTATTCGGTAGCCTGACTCCCTACATAACCCTACAAGACATGAAGCTCCTAGTCCTCACCCAGCTCCCTACCCGCCGCCGAACCCTTCCTAGCACGATAAAACGCAATGGTCACCGGTCACCACAAGGCTCAGGCTGGGATAATGCGGCAAAGTGCACACTGCACACACCCTCAGTCCCATCCCACAGTTACGCCGTCCGTCTCCGGCACGTACCAGCGCAGTGACCTGTGCGGCGGTCCGCCGTCCCGGTCTCCCAGTCAGCTGTTCGGTCCCCTCCTCAGCGGCGGTCAGGGCCGACTCGAGCAGCGCTGGCGGACAGGCCGGGTGCAGGAGGGAGGCGGCCGCCGGCCGGCGCAGCAGCTGATCCCGGTCCTCGGCGGCGAGCAGAGGTACCAGCCGGCACAGGAGGCGGCGCAGCGGCGGACAGCGGCGCCGGGAGAGCGCTCCGGCCGCCGCGTCACAGTAGGAGCGGCACAGCGCCGCCGGGCCGTACCTGAGCCAAAAGAATTAACTGATATATGTAGCTAGCCACAGTCACTCTAGGGTCCCAGACTGTGTGGGAAAGTTTGGTCACGGAAAGAGCGCATCGAACATTAAACCTATTCTGTCATTTATCACAACATTCTTAAGTCTTTGAAATATGCACACACGCACAAAAGCCAAGCAGTCTGAAAGACGTGAATGCGACGTGAGTCTGACGATAAACCGTTGCTACTGTGGATGCTCAGACTGCACTCACCTGGCGATGAAGCAGAGCGTATCGGCGGCGAGCAGTGACGCCCAGCCGTCTCCGCGACACAGGTGGCGCCACAGATGCAGCTCCGCGGCGCGCAGCTCCGCCGCCGACAGGCTGCCTGAGGGGCGGAGGGGACCAGTGAGCAGAGTAATTGACTGACAACTGACATGCAGAATAGCGGAAAAATATCGACAGCTCATAACATACGAGTCATAACATAGTAAGTCATAATAACACTCGTATTAGTCATAACATAGTAAGTCAGTCATATTAAACGTGGGTCTGATCGAAAACCGAGCTGTGTTAACGCTTCAGCTCAGTCACATACTTCTCAATAAATTTACAATTAACTACCTACCAATTTGATTACACAAGTTGGCTACATGCACCTACCAAAGCCATATAACTATTATACAGCAGTCCCATTGGTAAGTCTGATCACATATTCGGTAATTGCACTCTGCAATGACTGCAGCACTCTCATGGTCCCTTACCGGCCAGGGCGCAGACGGTGGAGAGTGTGAGTTGGTACAGGCTGACCTGTGGCCGGCCCTGGCCGTCGCAGTCCAGCTGGAGGCAGCACGTCAGCTCCCGGTCACCTGGACAAACGGCACGGTCAGATCAAAATGACGACTAACACCCGTTGACATAGCGCGGTTTCCCATTACCCTGGGAAAAAAGAGCATATCTACACGGAACACATCAAGCGAAGAATAAAACAAACGGCTCCGATTAAGCGCGCCAGACAATACATGAATACACTACTCACACAGAGGCATGAGCCGGAGCACCGCCGCTATCAGATGGCGCTCGCCCACCCCCTCAGAGGTCCAGCTAGCTCGCGCCGGCGCCGCCAGGTGGCAGGTGCGGCGGATCAGGATCAGGCAGCAGCGCAGCCGACACAGGCCTCCAAGGTCCTCAGAGTCAGATAGAGCCGACCAGAACGACTGGCGGCGGAACACAGGTCAGGTCAGGGTAAATACACCATTGACTTCAGACGTGTCATTACAAAAGCTTCAACAGCCTCGTATAATAGCTAGATACAAGCACACGCACACCAAGCGAAGCGGGTGAAAACACAAAACTGCTTCTAGCACTATTTGCGGTCTCGAAGGCTAAAAAGCCGTTGGATGTCAACTGACCGCATTACCTGCGGGAAGCCCTGATGTTCCATCAGACAGTCGAGCAGCGGTTCGGCGGCCACCGTCAGCTGACTGCTCAGCTGACCGAGAACGGACGGGTCCACGTCGGCCACGTGACTGTCCGGTGCAGAGAACCTGCCAGTCAGAGGGAGAGGTCAGGGAAACGGTAACGAGCCTCAGTCGACTGACGGCAGGAAATTGCAACTGATCTCTACCAAAAGGTTAGATGGAGTACGGTGAAAATGCAGTTCACATAGGCATAAAGACGTTCCAGTCGGGCGTCATGGAGTATGATGGACCTGCCCAAAAGACAGTACGGTAAAATGTGAAAAACACCACTCATTCCCCTAAGAACGAAAGTACATAAACCAGTATAACGCCTTTTGGGGCGACTAACGGAGCGAGCGAGAGGGTGGGCCTTGCACGTGCGAAATTGCGAGGGGGTACCTCCAACTGACTTGTGCACGACACCCTACTAACCGGTCTCTAGTGATGTGCCAAATTTGAGCACAATCGGCCCAGCCGTTCTCGAGATCTGGAAGCGGCACCCTGCACGTGCGCACGTGCAAAATGGGTCCTGACTGACTTTTACACGGCACCCTACTAACCGGCCCCTAACCGTGTACCAAATTTGAGCGCAATCGGTCAAGCCGTTTTCGAGATCTGGAATCGACCCCTGCACGTGCGCACGTGCAGCAGCACCCCAACTCTGGCACAAGGATATGCATTGCCTAGTGGGTGCCTACCTACATGCCAACTTTCAGCGCAATCGGCCCAGTAGTTACCGAGATATTGCAACTATTACAAAAGTGACACCTCTTCGTTTTGCACGTGGCACGTGCATAAGGGGTCACCCACATGCATCGGGAATAGTCCAATACTTGGTAGAAGGAACGAAGCTACCCTACAAAAATTACCGTATGTAAATCGTTCAAGTGGTTGCTGAGATATAAGCGTCGCAAAATCGTGACGGCCGCTCATACTCAGAAATTTCCGTTAATCTAAGGAAAGACTCCGCTCGCTCCGTAAACAACACATACCTACCTGGAGTAGAGTCGTATCTCTCGAGACCATCACTAGTCACCACAAAAAAAAAACTGAACAGCCCCCCGCATATTCAGCCCCCCCCCCCCCACACGAGATCACCCTACGTCCTTCCCGCCTGCGGCGCGCCCACCTGATCAGAGTGAGCACGAGTCGGACGAGGCTGGTGAGCGCGCCGCCGACGGAGCTGACGTAGCTCTCCGACAGGCCGACCACCAGCTTCAGGTAGAAGCTGCACATTTTCACGGCGCGCGCCAGACGCTTGTCAGAGCTCGGGGCGAAGGTCTGGAGTCACAAAGATCCATAGTAACGGTCAGCAAGGTCAACGAGTAACATCGTATCAAGGAGAGTGAAAAACACGGCACTCTCGAAACAAATCAATTATTTCGCGTCAATTTTATCGTAAGTGAGGTGCCAGAAAATATTTCCTCAGCCTGTAAACTACATAGCACGCAATTATCATCCATACTATAAATATTTGTGACGTATCGGTCATCGCCACCGTAGGTTGGCGCTGCTCCGAGCCCCGCACGCACCTTATCCCGACCACGCTCCCTGACCGTGGCCAGTTGCGAGGCCACCTCCGCGGCCATGTAGGTCAGCGCGTCCCCCAGCCGGACGGCGGGCGGCAGGAGGTCCGGCAGCCGCTGCAGCAGGCGCAGGTAGCACTTCCAGGCCTCGGCCATGGCGCGGGTGTCCAGCTGGGTCAGCTGGCGACCCGTCTCCGCAACATCGTCACACACTGGGGGGAGGGGTAGGTCAGGTCAGCTGACGACCCGTCTCCGCTACGTCGTCACATACTGGGGGGAGAGGGCAGGGAGCAGGTCAGGTCAGCTGGCGACCAGTCTCCGCCACATCGTCACACACTGGGGGGGGGGGGGGAGGGGGAGCAGGTCAGGTCAGCTGGCGACCCGTCTCCGCCACATCGTCACACACTGGGGGGAAGGGTAGGTCAGGTCAGCTGACGACCCGTCTCCGCTACGTCGTCACATACTGGGGGGAGAGGGCAGGGAGCAGGTCAGGTCAGCTGGCGACCAGTCTCCGCCACATCGTCACATACTGGGGGGGGGGGGGGCAGGGAGCAGGTCAGGTCAGCTGGCGACCAGTCTCCGCCACATCGTCACATACTGGGGGAGAGGGGGAGCAGGTCAGTTCAGCTGGCGACCCGTCTCCGCCACATCGTCACACACTGGGGGGGGGGGGGAGGGGGAGCAGGTCAGGTCAGAAGGTGACCCGTCTCCGCCACGTCGACCCGTCTCCGCTACATCATCACACACTGGAGGGAAGGAGAGCAGGTCAGGTCAGCTGACGACCCGTCTCCGCCACATCGTCACACACTGGGGGGAAGGGGTAGGTCAGGTCAGAAGGTGAATCATCTCCACCACAACCTCCACACAGTGATGAGGGAGGAGCACAAAAGGTCAGGATTCAGGTCATATGGGAAGCTGTCTCTGTTTTATAATCACAAACCGAATGGGGGAGGCAGGGTAAGATTTCAGACAGTCTACTGGCCTCTCTCAAACATATTGTGAGATACTGATGGGGGAAGGCAGGGTAGGACACATCAGGTGACCTGCTCACTGCTGACTCATCTTTGCCACACATTGACAATCTACAGTGCATACATGGAGAAAGCAAGGTCGAGCAGGTACAAGTTGCACCAGTGTGCAGTAATTACACATCTCAGCATCCCCCTTTCCCTGTCCCACCCACCTGTTGTCAGCAAGGTGACAGCCTGTTGGTCCTGATGACTGCTATCAGCTGAGACAATGACATCAGCCAGTCGGTGAAGAGCATTCTGCAGACTCGTGGCAGCCCGGAACAGCCTGGTCAGGGGGCCATTGACAGACTCCAGCATGGAGCCATACAGCTGTGAGCTGCCAAACAAATGGTCAGGTTGGTGAGGAGACACAGACATGACAAGTAAAGCCAATGGAGACTGAGACAGGGGAGAATGGGAGTTCATCAGACTTTGGAGTTCAGTCACACAGATATAAGCTCAGAAACAGTCAAGACTCAGGGGAGGGGACTCAGGGAAGTTCATAAACTCCATCACACAATTATCCATAGGTGATAAAAATTAGCAGATTCTTGGCAACAGTTTACCAAGGAGTAAGGACCCCAGATGTGAAAGTGTTTGTCCCTTCTTATTCTTTCATTAGCAGTTGTCACCAACTGACCTCTCCTGGCAGTGGTTGTAGGTGGCCTTGATACATTGAAATGCTGGTGACATCAGGCCATCCAAAAACTGCACCTGCTGCAGACTCCTCTCCTCGGCACACTGGCAGCATGCTGACATGGTATCTAGCATCTCTGTTGAAACCTGGAAACAAATGCCAGCTTGACATCAGAGTCTTGCAGATACTTATGTATAAACCTGCAGAAACAAATGCAATACAAATATGTTATCAATGTAGTGTATTTCTACATCAATATCACAAAATAAGCATCATGGTTTAACTTATGATTTCAGTTGGGCAAACTAGACTTTTGGAATCAAAATATGGAGGCATCAATAATTTGATTCTGGTGGGAGGAGCCATGACCAAATATGGGCATGGAATCAATTTTTTGATTCATTTGGGTACACTTTTGACTTGAAATGAATCGTTACGGTTGAAAAAAGGCCCATGACGGTGAGATTTTTCTTTTAAAAGGTAGAAAAATGTGGTAGGTTTGCAAAAAGTGTTACCTCAAAGCTAAGAAATTGTCCCTTTGGCCTTGTGAATGGGAAAAAGACAGAGCCACTGTCCATCACGTAAAAGCTGTTTTGATGAAATCACACTGTATGCTATTTTTGTATCATGAATCACATACTAACCAATCAGTATTTGTGTAAAATGGCAAAATGAAATTTTTAAACCCCTAATTATCATTGTTGTAGTGCTTTTATATTATTTATATGGTTTTTACCTGTTGCTTCAGTTTTTGTATTCTTGACACTTAAAAATTGTGAATTGTTATCAAATGTAGTGAAGGTAAAGTACAACAATGCTATAGGTATCAGTTGTGGTGCTGAGGATACCACAAAATGAGAATAATAGCAAGATAAATGCTGTATTCTTGCAAGTCATTGTTGCCTATCTGTTAACATTACCTGTGAATCAAAATAATGATTAGCCAGCTGATGGGGAATCAATATTATGATTATCTGTTAAAAGTGAATCAATTCCTTGATTGCCTTTCACTACCTATATAATTCAAATTGTTATGATAGGAGCAATATCATTTTGCTTAGGAGATAGATCAAGCATTTCTGTTCAAGATCAGGCATGCTCCTTCTTGAAACACTCTCTTATTTTTATGTGATTGGTAAGTTAGAAATGGTCTGCATTTATGCCCAAAAGGAATCAATCTTTTGATGCCTCCATATTTTGATTCCAAAGGTCTAGTTTGCCCAACTGATTTTTGCTAAGCATAAAATCAAGAATTGCACTTTCATTCCTCCAAAAACCTTCTTTAAACATGCCAAAAATACACATTTTAAAACTATATATACCTGGAGAAGCTTTGAAACTTGACTTGCATTTTCCCATGCTTTCAGCCTCAGTAATATGTTCTTGCATGCCGCTTCTGCAGCTGGAAGCAGTGCTCTGCACACAGACATTATCTTTGACTCAGCCACAAAAATTAGAGCTTTCTTTAGGAAGGTACTGAGGACTGTAGCTTGGGTAGGTGGCTCTGATAACTTCAATATATCTTTAATTTCTTCCAGAAATTTCTCACACTTTTCTTCAGCCTCATTCCCATGCAGAAGCTCCAACTTTTTGACGAAATTTTCAGCCATGCTGGGCAATGGAGACTTATGATGTAACGACTTATGAAAACCAAATGACCATTTTCAAAAAGTCTGAAAAAGAATTCAGTTTGAGCTGCTCCCTGTGTGTGAACTTCTGTAATAAACAATTGAAGTTCACAAAGGGCGCATCTGCGTCATTATTCGCTCACTCTTGAATCGGCCGCCAAATTCTGTAGTGCTGCCAAATGCAAAAGTAACCCTTGCCCATAATATTTTACCACGAATTTTGCGAAATGGTGCGGTGTGGCCTCATAACGAAAAATATGGGCCATTGCCTGATTTCTTTGAAAAAATTGGTTTATCCCGACTTTCAAATGTGAGGAAGGGTAGGAGATTGAGTCTATAGCCGTCAGGGCTACAAAAAGCTTCACCTATAAACAAGATCGTTTGCCATTCAATTTCTATGGTTTGCCAGTTGCCAATAGCACCCAGATGGCCGAACGCCCTTCATTTGCTTGCGGACCCAACCTGTCAGTTACAGAGTTGAGGTGCGGAGTCAAGGGAAACGCCCGACAAAGGCAGCAACAAGCAAGGCAATGACACATTTTATTGCAGGATCGATGGCAGACACCCGAATTGCACGTTTACATTCGCTACAAACGATGCATAAAAGCCTGCAGCACATAGTGCTGCTAGAACGACCTGAAGAGATCGTGACGTTTGGTATGACATAGCAGCCAGAAGCCCCTCAACAGTGACATTAATGGAGCCCAGGCTGCACAACATCCAAGGACATGCAAGCATAATTCATCGCACAGAACATCAGACAATGAGCAGTTCTCATCCCATCTCCTCAGAAATTGCATAGCAAACAATCGCTGGAGCCTACGGACGAGAGGCCCATCTGCAGTTACCTGAATCTATGGACATCGTCCATACATAATACCGCTTGTATCACATTCAGACATCTCACTGCAGCACGCAGGTCACCTATCACATCCCCCACACACCCCGCTAGCTCTGCTGCACCTGCCACGAGCTGTCCAGGTCCGGGCACTGTTTGCCCAGGATGCACGTGCCGGTGACAGCCGGCCGAGCCAGGTAGGTCTCAGCCACGCGCCGCAGATCGTCCCTGGTGACCGCCTGCAGGCGAGCCCGGTGCTCGTCAAACTGATCGTCCGTGATGCCGTGCAGGAAGTGGCGCATGCCGCGCTGGGCGGGCACCACTGGCGCGTCCACTGCCTGGAACACGCCCAGCTTGGCGCCGTCCACCTCCTCTGGCGAGAAGTCGCGCTCGCGCGCCACCTGCACGGCGCCGTCGAACACGCGCAGGGTAGCCAGTGAGGAGGGGTCGCGGTAGCTGTAGTAGGACCACAGGCCGGCCGGCGAGGCGACCGCCCCGCCGCCGTACGCGCCGCCCTTCTCGCGGATCTCGCGGTGCAGGTGGCCCAGTGATAGCAGACGCGCCAGCACGCGCAGCGCCGCAAAGTCCGGGTGCGCGTACGGCACGGTGGGCACACAGCGCGCCGCGTAGTGCACCGGCATCGGCAGCTCGACGTACGTCTGGCAGCCGGCGGGCGCAAACTCGGGCTGCACCCAGCTCTCGGCACGGCCCTCGCCCAGCGCGCGCGCCAGCAGCGACTCGAGGCCAGCCAGCGCCGGCGGCAGGCCGGCAGCCGTTCCATTCAGCGCGCACCGCATGCCGTCCTTCATCAGCAGCATCTCGGCCAGCATCTTCAGCTTGGTGACGGTCATGTCGAGCTCGCCGTCGGTGACCAGCTGCCGGACGTAGCGCACCTGGTCCAGGCCCGAGTAGAGCTGGCGCAGCTGGGCCGAGCCCGTCAGGCCGGCCGCCGCCGAGCTCATTGCGTACTGGTGGCCGGCGTGCGGCACGCTGTTGGCCAGCTCGGCGGCGCTCATCTGCAGCTGGCTGCTCAGTCGCTCGCGGTTCTCAAACGTCACGCCCGTGAAGATGTCCTCCCAGAGGCCGAACATGCGCTCGGCGTTCTGTTCGAGGCAGTAGGAGGTGAGGAGCATGCCCTCCTCGTAGCGGCCCGGCTCGCTGGGGTGGTCGGTGACGGTGACGGCGGCGGACAGGCCGCCCGTCCACAGCTGCTGCTGCTGGTCCTGCTGCCGGTAGTCCAGCTGGCCGGCGCCCATGCTGGTCACCAGCCGACAGAAGAGCGGCAGCAGCGGCCGGAAGTAGGCCGGCACACCCGAGGTGTCCACCACCGCGCGGAAGTAGGTGATCCCGTTGGTCGGCTGCTCGGAGACCTGCACCGGTGTCGCCGACACCGTCTCGCGGCGCACCTTGGCGCGGGGCGCGTGCGGCGCGATGTCCCGCCGCACATCCAGCATGGGCAGACTGGAGGCATCGTCCCCGGCCGCCTGTTTCTCCTGCAGCAGTCGGCCGTCCTCGAGCACCCTCTGCCGGTCAGCGTCTGACAGCGCCGCCACCCGGCCGGCCAGCATGTCCGCCTCCTTCTTCTGCAGCTCCGCCTCCAGCGCCAAGTCCGGAGTCATGACGGTCACCAGCCGGTGGCGGTTGTCGCGCAGCAGACGCGTCAGCCGCTCCTGCAGCAGGCGCGGGTTGTCGGCCATCTCCCGCCGCAGCCGGGCCAGGTGTGTGTCCAGACTGAGCGCGTCCAGCGGGTCACCGCCGTGGAACCAGGGCGCCACCACCTGCATCACCAGGCCCAGGCCGAAGTGGTTACTCTGGTGTTTGCGGCCGAGCTCCAGCCGGTGCAGCACGGCGTCCACCCGCTCCTGCTCGAAGCCCTTCTCGGCAACTTCGGCCAGCGTTTTGTCGATGATCTCCACCACCTTATCTGTATCGGCGTCGGCTACGCCCTGCAGACCCACCGAGAACACCGTCTCACGACACGAGTTGTCGAACCCGGTCACATGCGGCGTGTAGTCATCGCCGAGACCGGACTCGACCAGCGCCTGGTAGAAGGGCGACGCCGGGCCGTCCACCAGCAGCTCCGACAGCACAGTCATCAGCAGCGACTCGTAGCTGTCGGTGACGTCGCCCACCAGTAGGCTGACGGCCACGCTGGCCTGCCGGTCAGTCCGCGGGGACAGAGGGTCGTAGCGGCACTTCAGCTGCTCGCGGCGCGGCGCGTCCCAGCGCGGTTCCAGCGGCACGCGCGTGTCGCTCGCGGCCACCGCCGGCGCACGCGACAGGTACTGCTCGTGGAGAAACTTGAGCCGCGGCTCGAGCGGCAGGTTTCCGTAGGAGAAGATGCGGCAGTTGCGCGGGTGGTAGTGGGTGGCGTGGAACTGCTTCAGCTGCTCCCAGGTCAGCTCGGGGATGTGCAGCGGGTCGCCGCCCGAGCAATGGCGGTACGTGTGAGACGGCAGCAGGGCATTCTGCACGCGCTCGGCAAACACCCGGTGACGGTCCGAGAGGGCGCCCTTCATCTCATTGAACACCACTCCCTTGAACACGATGGGCGAGCTCGGGTCCTCTGGGTTCTCGTGCTCGAGTCGCCAGCCCTCCTGCAGAAAATCGAGCCGTTCCAGGCGCGGCTCGAACACGGCGTCCATGTAGATCGCCAGCAGGTTCATATAATCGGCCTCGTTGCACGTGCTGAACGGGTACATGGTCCAGTCGCTGGCCGTGAACGCGTTCATGAACGTGGCTAGAGACCGGTTCAGCATCTTGAAGAAGGGGTCTCGCGCGGGGAACCGGCGGCTGCCGCAGAGAGTCGTGTGTTCCAGGATGTGCGCCACGCCGCTCGAGTCCTGTGGCGTGGTCGGGAAGCCGATACTGAACACGTTGTCCGGGTCATCGCGAGCCACGTGTAGGTACTGGGCGCCGCTGGTCTGGTGCTCCAGCAGCGCGGCCGAGGCGCTCAGTTCGGGCAGCTCGCGGACCTGGCGCACGCGGAACCCGTGCACGTCCTGGTCCACGGCCGGCAGCTGAGAGAGCGGTCGGCTGAGCGGTCGGCGCCACGCGGCCGCCGCCGACCGACACACGCGCCACAGCATCACGGCGCCGACAGCAGACCAGCGCAGACGGAGGTACCGTGCGGCCGAGACAGGAGTCAGCGGCCGGTCCAGACGTCACCCCGAGCTCTGTAACAAACACACAGCCATCAGCGCAGTCGGTACTCATCGCTCGTCTAGTCAGCGGCACACAATATTATAAGGATGACGTTGGCTGATTTTGGGCATGTTCAG